CCCTTGTGCAGCTGCTGGCTCTGCTGAATGAGGCCAGAGTGGAATTCAGAGCTCTGCTGCTGCACAGAGGAGGGAAGGAGCTCTCCCCCTCTCGCCCCATGCTCTCCACAGTGTCCCCTGCTCCCTGGCAGGTGAGAAACAGGGGGTCCAAGGGGCTGCTTGCCCTCCTTTTGTGGCATTTTTCAGGCTGTTATACAAAAAACATAGGAGAACAAAGTATGGTGGTTCACAGCTATGGCATAGCTTGCCATGGGTAGCAAAGGAGCAGCTCATGCTGAGAAGAACGCTGCTTAAGCCAGCAGTGAGAGAAAAGTGCAAGCTGCATCTCTGGTAGCCCAGTGCTGGGTGTCCTGAAATATCTTAAGAGGGGCTTGAAAATTGCTCTAATTTATGTTAGCTACCCCCAGGAAATGTGAAAGCTTCTTAAGGTGGTCACTGCAGCAAAGGAGAGACAAGGTTGAATCTCTTCCTTCCTGACAGAACTGCCCACACACCCTGGGGAGAGGACACGGGTGCCTGTGCTGTGCTGCTGGCAGGACAATTCCCTGCATCCCCTGTGCCAAGGGAGCCTGTGCACCCTGAGGCTGCTCAGGTCCCACAGGACACTGCAGGTCTCAGCATGGTGAGCCTGTGTGCCCAGGTGCCCCCTCCTTTCTCTGCTCTTAGCTCTTGAGATGCTAAATGTTTTGTTCTGGGACACGCTTCTGGACACTGATGATCTCTACACCTCTGTTAATATGGATGGAGCTGTGGACAGCTTATGTGCATTTAGAGGCTCTACATTTTTTAGGCATATTTTTTGCTCAAAATAAATCTTTACCTCTGTGGAGAGTCAATTAAGACCAAGTATTTTAGACCAAGGACACTGGAGAAAAATGGTATGAATATTTTGATATTGCAGTTTCTAGTTCTGTCTTAACAGTAAAATCCTTCTTCTTGCTTATTAAATCATGGCAGAAAATTCCTTGTGAGCCAATGATGACAGGCAAACATAATGCCAGTTTTTAACAAGATGCCAGGCAGAGGTTTAAGAGATCTGATTTTTATCAGAAGCTTTTATAGTACTTGAGTAGTAAAAAAATACATTGTGAGTAACATTCATGGCTCACGTATGGTAAAAAGGGCAGCACACTGCATGAAACCTGGGGATGCTGGGCTGAGGAGTGCTTCCTTTTAAGAAGATTGTGCTCCCAAATTAACTTGTTCCTATGCTAAGCATAGCAGAAACAGTGCTGCTGCTAAGCAGAACAATTACTTTCCCTTTGTAGTCTGCCTGCTGGTTTGTTCAGGCCTGCTTTGTGCTCAGCCTTGGCTGGGTCTGGGACGGTGGTTCAGTAACTGTGAAGCTCTGTGCTTAGATCCCAGCCAAATCAGTGACACACAAAATCAGGGCAGGCAGTGAATCCCCAATGTGCCAGGTTTAGGAAATCAGCGCTCTGCATAGATGAGCCAATATCCTGTATTTATTTTGCTGTTTTCTGTACCCATTTCTCTTGCATCTGGGTATTTAATACATATTTCCAACCAGCAACACACCAGCCTTAAATTAAATTCCCTGCTATGAATATCAAAAAACAGGCCCTTCCATCTCTGCGCTGTTCCAGCTTGCAGCAGCCACCAAGTACAAGACCACATTCCCCCCAAGCCTCCTCCCTCTCTCCTCCCTCCCTCCCTCAAAGCAATTTTAAACTGCTTGACTGAATGCAGTATTTGAATGAGGATTTCATATATGGGCTTAGGCTTTCTCTCTAGCTCACTGTGAGAGAGCAGTGCAGAGAAAAGAGTCCATTGCAGTGAGCACACCAACTGTAATTAACTTCGGTATTCACCAGGTAAAACACCAAGGAGTTAATCAGGCACAGCTAAAATAAGCATGGCAGTACTAATATTAAAAAAAAATTAATTGTTTAAAGCAAGGGGGAATTTACCAAAAAGATAAATGGGGACTTCTATCTCCTTCCCCTCAGCCAGCTGTAGTAGAATCACAATGCCAGGAATATGCAGTGTAGAGAAGGAAGCAGGGAAATGGGGCACAAAAGTTGTAGTGAAAAGTGAGAAAAAAGTTTGGCTTCCTCAGGTATCCCCTGTTCCCCAGCCTGCTGCCAGCCCCAGGGATGTGCTGAGCATTGCTGTGTTCCTTGCACAAAAAAGAACTTGGATCTGGCTCTTGCTCTCCCTGTCATATCATCTCTTCTGTGAGCTGCTCAAGCTCCATCTAAAACCTGTCATTCCTGCTCCCTCTGCACTGATTAGCAGGCCTTTCATTAGCAGGCTGCTTTGGTGTAAGAAATCTGCGTCTAATTTCCAAAAGACATTTGTTTTCATGCTAACACTGCCAGCTTTTTTAGCTTGTTCCTTTTTCCGCCTGCTTACCTTAGAGACATTTAGTGAGGCAGTTGTGCTGCAGCTCAGCTGTGCTATTGCCAGGCTGACCAAAGCAGCCCTGTCAGTCTCCCCTGTGCTCCTCTCATCGCCCTGAACCTGCTCCAGGCTGACTTTCTCTTCCTGCATCTGGGCACAGCAAGGGCAGGAGAGCTGGGGATCAGGGCTGAGGCAGGGCAGCAGGATGGGCAGGGCAGTGGGCTCCCGGCCCCACAGCACCGAAGAGAGGAGAGCAGGGCACATCCACTGGCAGTCACCAGGGTCAAATGCAGCCCAATGGCTCTAGACACATCCACAGCAACGAGGAAGGTCTGAGGTCAAGCCAAGAAGTCAGACCATAGGTCAGGGTCAACAATGTCGCTCATGTGGGGTCCAAGGGCAAGTGTGGGAGATCAAACACAGCCGCTGAGCTCCGGCTCAAGGCCCCAGTGAGGCTCCATGCTGTCCAGTCAGCCAGGCTGGCCAGCAGTGCCACGTCAGGGCTGGCCCCGCAGCTCAGCCCCAGGAGCAGCAGAGCCTTCTGGGGTGATCAGAGAGGGCTCTCTGGCAGTATGGGAGGGTGAAAGTAGACCTCCAGCCACCAGCACAAAAAAAAAGTCTTTCCACTGCTACTTACTGGTAATTCACTACTGGAAATCTTCTCAACAGACCTTACATCACATTTCTCATATCTGCATCATAATTCTAGCTCAAATTTCTCTCTTGCTTGCCCTATCTCACATGAACTTCAATTCCTCTGTCAGTTGTCACATCTCTATCTAACAGCAGAAAATCCTGTTCTTAATCCTGAATTATGAGCCTTTGGACATTGACCTGAACTTTGCCCCTCCAGTCCTCTCTAGCTTCCAATTCTATGAGAGACTCTGATTCTTCTCTTTTTAAAACTTTTTTTCTAATTGAGCAACTGCTTCTCCTGCTAGGTATTTGCTCACCTGAGTTTAGTGCTTCTGGTCAGGAAAAGGAATGTTTTTTTCATCCTGTGAATATTACTGAATTTGACAAATCTGTGACTTACTATGACACATGGGTCCTTCTTCTGTTTCTCTCTATTTCATTCAATGCCCTTCTTTTGTCTTGTTCACTCAACCTATCATTTTAAATATGGATAGTTATAGTTATAATTGTAGGAGTCACTTTCAATTTAGAATATTGAGTCTGGAATTGCATTTAGATTTCTAGTTGTGTAATTTGGGCTGAGTTTTTCAGAATGTGTGCTCATTAGTGAGAGTTCTCTCTCTTACATCACAGTGGGGACACTTTATCAGGTTGTGCTTTGCAAAATGAAGGTGTTTTGGCCCTGCTGCAGCAGTAACGCCATTTTAAGATTTGCAAAACAATCACAAATTCTTATAAGAAAAGTTTTCCTTTCCAGAAACAAGGTTGGTCCTAAACTTTCAGTTGTTGATGGCATGGATCATTGCTATGGAGATTTTAATCTGGCAGGTTGGAAGTGTTAAATCCAATGTAATTCTTAAGGTGTGAATATTTGCTTCCATGTTTATGATCCTTTGAAAACTTTGGGTGAGATGAAGTCAGACAATGAAATTTTTTTCAGGTAAGGTGCCACTATAGATCTGCTGGAACTTTCTGTTTATTGGGAGCTCATGCAAGTAGTAGAAATACTTGGCTTCTTAGGATAAATTTTTGTGCAACCTGACAAAATTAATGTTGCTGTGTATCACATAAATTGTGAAAGATGTGTATTTGTGTGTGTGTCTAAAAGAGACAGAAGTTGTATACATGAAAAAACCAGCAGCACATCAACACTTTACCTTCCCCTGCCCCCCCAGCAGTACCAGCCCAGAATTCACCAGACTGCTGGAATAGAAGGCTCCATTTCAAGATGTTTAAAAGTTAGGAGTTGGCAAGTTGATCCTAGTGGTGTCCTAAGTCCACTTTACCCTCTTTCCACAATCTTTTGCAGAAAAACCAGTATTTTCCAAGACAGTGAAAGGTGGTTTAGTGAGTGGATAGGAGGAAGGGACTATGTTTTCTGGTCTCTCAGTTACATCAGTTTCCACATTGATAACTGGGCTTGCTCAAGCACACTTCCAAACAACCAGAGCTTTGTGGCAGAGTGTAACAAAAGCCTTAGTCCTTAATGTGCTGCCAGGCTCAGGCCATCTGTGTGCAAATGACCCTGTGGTGCTGCCAGTGTCAGTGAGACCTGTGTCAACCTGTGGTCTGAGGGCTGTTTGCACAAATTTGTCTAGCTGCAGAGGGCATTTCTGGAGTTTGCTTCTCTTTCAAAGCATCTAAGAGGAATGTCCTTGTGTTAATGGTGAAAGCTCCCCTCTTCTTTGGAGCCCTGCCTTGTTCACTGCATGTCTGGCAGGTACATGTAAAGCAGGCAATGTCCCATGGGGGCACTGAGTGGACCCCCAGGCACTGGTGTAGGGTACTCCTGCTGGTGTAGGGTACTCCTGCTTTGCTTGCCTTTAGTTATGCTCTCCTTTTTAAAACTTTCTGGAATAGAGGGTCACCTATGCCATGCATCAGAGCTGTACATCAGACTGGCTGTGTAATGTGCTTTCTGCTGTTGCTTAACTCTTATTACAAATTAATTCATCAGTGGAAGACAGGGATATAAATGTTTAGTGAGAAAGTGAGATCATTACCTGTGAGTAATTAGGGCATCTTTTCCTTTCTGCAGCTGTACCTTCTGTGTTGAGAGTTTGTGAAATGCACTGGTATTAGCCATCATAATATTTATTGACTTGAACAGAAAGAGATATTGGCTGTATGCAGGTTCTCAAGGGAGTGGATGAGGGATGTGATGTGGTGGGATGTGACAGCTTCTTCGTTGTTGATTTTCTGTACTGAGCTGCAAGTGAAAACTGCTGCCTGGAAAGATGCTGAATGGAAACAGAGATCAATAGACCAGTTAGCCTGCAAATACTCCCTAAGATACAAATTCCCAATTTGTTTGATGGCAGAACAGTTATTTGCTACTTGCAGTATGACATGGCTTCCTCCCCCCCCTCCCCACCCCCCCCAATATATTACATTGTTCTGCACCCAAATTAAAGTGAGCTTTAGTAGTCAGAGAAACTCTTCAAAGCAGGAAGTCAACTTCATGACATTTACCTCATGGTCACCGTTAAAACTGAAAATAGACTCTTAGCATATGTAAGTAAAATGGAATGGGAGTGACTTTATACGGGATTTTGAAAATCCTTTCCATGTCCTGATAATCTCATTTTCATGTGTGAAGAGTCCCATGTTGCTGGAGATGGGTATCCCTGCTCAATCCTCCTGCAAATCACTGCTCCCCAGAGATTCTCCCCTGATGCCTTGACACATCTGTACTCTGACATGCCTGATGCCACTTCTGTTTGTACAAAACAAATGAAAAAAGCTCCCTGTTGCTGAGCTACCAACCTCTGCAAGATAAACTTTAACCAAAGGTTGCAACCTGCTACCTAGCAAAGCTCTGGTTTTGAAACTCCATCACCTCAACAGTTTCTTCCAACTCCCTGTGAACATTTCCCCCTGAAAATATCTGTCACTGCCTGAACAAGACTGTTCACCCCACTGGCAAGGCCACAAGGCTGCTTTGGGGCTGCCTGTTGACAGTGGGCTGCAGAGCAGGCAGCATGGAGTGCTGATGGTGCACAGTGGTCACCTCCCTCCCTCCTGCCTCTCTTCTTGCTGCCTTTCACTCCCCTTGGAGGGGAGGCACAAAAGGAAACTCCACTTTTCAAGACTGTTCCGTTTGCATCAGGCCGAAATGTGTTTTCAACTGAACAATCACTTTCTGTGCCGACAGTGACAGCTCAATTGGTCCAAGGAGGGGGGTGAGAGGGGTGCTAAGGTTTTCTTTCACTTCTTGTAGTGTTAGACCATGTCAAATGAGACTGTTGAAACAACACCCGGTTTGTTTGTCTTGTGGCCTGGTCTGGGGTGTGAAATATTAGGACAGCAGCAAAGTGTTTGCATCTCTCCACAGCTGGAGAACACCTCCCACACAGCTTCTGCCCCCTTCATCACTCAGTGGAAGGGGACCTAAAGAACATCTTTCTCTTGAAAAAAGCTCCCGTCGTGCCAGGTTTTTGGTCTTGGAACTCTGTCTTGAGCATCTGAATGGATCAAAGGCATACTTAAAGAGCTTGGCTAAGCTCTCACCCTTACTTGGGATATAAAGTTGATTGAAGTAGGATGTTCAAGTTTCAGGTTATGCCTGATGCTACATTTTCACTTGATTCTTTTTCTATGTGTCATTTCTATATTTGCTATTCATATGTGCTATTTCTTCATTACCATCTTGATGGACCTGCAAGTATAAACCAGTGTAGCCAGTGAATTTGAGGGCAGGGGAGGGAATCCCAGCTTTGTGGTTATAAGAAGTATGGAATGCCTCCGTATTTACTCACTTTCCCCATAAAACACCAACAATTCTTTTTTTGCCCAATGTATGCATTACAGCTTCCGTTTTTATACCCTTTTCCTAGAAATTATGTTCCTGGGTTGTAACCAAGACTTACTTTAGCATGGAGTAGGTATTGTTTGGGTTTTTCAAGTTGCCATTGCCAATTAGTTTTGGAGGTTTGAGGCATCATCAGAGGCTGATAAAAGTCTCTATGAGCTCAGTCCTCCCACTATTTATGTTCTTCTCCAGAAAAGTCTTCCTGTCTATCACTACAATGAGAAAGAATTTATTTCACTTCTGCTCTAACTCCTGGAGACAGTAAACAGAAGATATAAGACAAACTTTTAAGAGAGCTCACAATCCTACACCCTGTCCTATATGGACTGTTGCATCTGAAGAGGGAATGTTTTAAAATGTTTTTAATAATCTTTTGAGGAACATATATTTTCAGTAGGCCAGTCTGACAAAACTGGTAAAACTTCAAGTGTAATAAGAGAACTATATGACCAGTGATCACATTTACTTACCTTAATCCATGTAAACCTCAAAGGAGATGTGTAAGGATCCATGGTCTAGAGGGAGCAAAGCCAGGTGGGTGTGAAGCAAAGCAGGCCCAGACACTCAGGTGCTCTGTGGAGGATGATGTGTGTGATTCAGCAGCAGCACTGCCCTGACTGTGGATAAATTGTTCCCAAACCCATGCTAGTTGTTGTAGACTGTGGGGCACTGAAACACGTGGGTATTGCTGTTCAGGGCTCCATCAGCTGTGGAATCTCTGCACTGGCCTCCAGTTTATGAAGCAGATGTGACCATCATTTCCCATGTGGTTTGGATCTTTCAAATCTTGTAAATGTGTAGTAGTAAGGACTTTTCCAGTCAAAAGCAGGGTGCTCCTTATAATTAGCCAGGTAAGCGCTGAAGCTCCATGAGAGACAGCTGGGGTTAAAAAAAAATAAAAAAAATAGTCTAGTATGTGAATGACTTTAAAGTAAAAAGGGTTGGTTTGTGTAAAAGAAGCTGTAAATCATATCAGTTATTGCCTATTCAAATATTTTTTTGTCCCCTCCAGAAGATCATAAAGCCATTTAGATTGTGCAGTACATGTAAATATCTGGTGTATCATCTCACTGAGAAAAATGATGAATATTGGTATCTCTGTAGAAAGACTGTAGTCTATCAAAGCTCAGTATAGTGGAAGGCCATAAACAGATGTAAAGTCCCTCCCTTCATTAATTTCTGTATATTCATAAAATTTTTGAATTTTCAGTGTTATTCTTTGTCTACTACTACTACTACTGCTGTTGTAATGTGTATCGAAAAATGACTAATTGGTGAAGAAGGTGGTGTGGAGCCAAAAGAAACTAAACTACTGTGCTTTTGTGTTCAGTGAAGGGAAAGAGTAAGAGGTTTTGAGGGTTTCCCTCAACTTGAAAAATGAAAGCAGAGCTTAACTACGCATTGTGAAAGCCACACTCTGAGACACTGGAGTTCTGCCCAGAGGGGACTGTCTAATTTTCTGAAAACTAATATTGTGTGTGTTCTTGCAGGAGGATGCTGATGAGATGGGTACTTGAACCCCTAGAAGGTTTTGACGGCCATGAAAGAAGTTCCCTCTTCATTGACTTACAGTGTAAGTAAAGTCAACAGATCCATGCCTGGAGAAGTGTGAGAAGGGTGGCAAACATTTCCAGTATGCAGAGCTTCATTGTTTGTCTTGATATTTGGTTGGTCAACACTCCCCTTACATAAAGAAAAGCAACCTCATCAGCAGCACATGTGTGAGGTATTTTTATTATTAAACAATTCTATGCATAGCCCACTAATAAGTTAAATAATACACGCCCCTTTTCCATCAGTTTTTGGAAGTGAGAGTACTGTTCAAAGTCTCAAAGGCCTGGAGAGAAATCAGAGCTCTGAAGGAAGGGAAGGGTCAGAGGTCAGCAGTGGAAATGGGGTGTATGCCTTCATTTTTAGAAAGGTAATTTTGGCCAAGTAGTTGGGATAGAACAAGAAGAAAACACTAAGTGTACAGTCTACTCAATGTTATGTCTTTGCACAGATTTTTTTTTTGTTGGTTTTTTTTTGCTTTTTTTTCAATTGTTAGCTTCATTTTGAAAAGTGGCAGAGGATTTGGGATCTGTCCCATTTTGGTCAGCCAACTTGGCATAATGTAGAGGAGTCTAAATATAGCTGTAAGAGATGTTGCTCATTAGGCAACTCAAACCATTAGACAAGATAAAAATATGTCAAATACTCTGTGGATTTAATTTCAGATTGAGTTAGTCTCCCTGTTTAGAAACTCCACTTCTGTGGTAGTTGCTCTTATTTACTTCCTACAACACAACAGTGTTTGATTTTATCCTAATGTTTTGTATGTGCTCAAGTATTAGGACATTTTCCAAGTGTCATGGTAGTGCTTGGAAGTTTTTCATGTCCAGCATTTAAACTTTTATTTGGCTCTTCAAATGATGCTGGTTTGTAGCTGATGCACATCAGTGGAGATGTGCCAGCTTCCTCCAGCTGAGGCTTTGGCCCTTCAGTGCTGGCCTTTTTGCAGTTCTCTTATCACGATCCTGTTTGAACCATCCAGACATACAGCACAAACTCTGTTAATGCAGAAAAACGGTACTGGGAAATACAGAAAAAGAAGTATAAAAACCTCTGTGATTTAATCCAAACCTTACAAAGGCGTTGTTTCTTTGGGCACTTTCTCTGAAAAGACTACCATTTCAAACAAAACAGAAGGAAATTGGTAGGAAGTGATTATGGAGACAGGAAATCTCAAAGCCGTGAAACTGTAAATAAAGTGTTATTTGTACTACTGTACTTGGTTCCCTGCTTTGCATTCCCAGCACGAAATGTTAGACAAGGCTTTAGCACTAGAGCAGGGACCAAGTTACTTGGATGTTTAAAAAAAACCCCAACAATAGGAGTAAAAAGTCCAACCACATATTTCATATTATGAAAAGTAGCAAGTATTTTGGAAAATTATTTGTATGGAATGCTTCAGGACAGATTTTTATCTGAAACTTGAAGCCCTGCAGCCAGTCTCCATCACAATTTGTTACTCTCAGCAAAGGATGTGACTTGTTTAGACATCAAACACGTATCAAGTGGCTCAATGTTAGTATTCTGAAGCATCAGCTCTAAGGCAGGCGCCAGTGCTAACATCATTACACAACTCATGTAGCACTATGATAATCCAGTTCAGCACTGCCTGCATTTATTGTTTATTTTTATCAGACCTATGAAAGCTCATCTTTTCCATCTGTCAGCATTATCTTACGTGATCCATTAATACAGCTAGGAGGGATGCATTAAACTGTGCACTTCAATATCCGTTAATGAACCACCTTAACCTATACTAACAACAATGAATGAATGAACACAGATCTTAATTGCTTCCATTATGATGTGTTTGCTTTGGGAGTGGTTACTGCCATGGGAAATGTTAACTAGAAAAGTTATCCCTGCATCTTTAGTTGTTTGTATATGTGCATCTGGAAAATATCCCTTTCCTTTCCCTTCCTCTACTGCCATGTTTTGTGTCTTCTGTTGTAGTTTAAAAATTATTTGCTCAAAGGGATAATAAAGCAATGCACTTGTGCAAGAGAGCACATACAACTCCAGTGTGGTCTGAGGAAATGCTCTGAAGCACCTGAACTTTACAGGAGTGAAGATCATGTGTTTTTATGTTGTGAGAGGCTTCTGAGTCCTGTGGACAGGAACTCGGGAAGGAACTCCTGTGAAAGGCAGAGGGTTGACAGAAACAAAATCTAAAGGCTGCTTGTTGCTTCCAATTTCTCTTCAAGCAGAAATGATTTCCCCGAACTGTCATAAGACTTCCGATTCTCAGTGGTTTTCATGTCAAGAGAGTCCGAGGGTAAAATCTGTACCTTGATGTAGAGGAGACATCCATTTAGAGGAAGCTCCAAGGAGTCTGGTGGTGAGACCTTCAGTGTGTTTGCTTAGTCTGGCACATCCCCATATGACAAGGAAATTGAGAATACACCAGCATTATGGTTACTGCTGGTAGAGTAAGCTCTGCAAGCTTTTAGGCAGGGCAGCAAGGATAAGAACTGGACAGAGCAGACTAAAAGACAGCTCAGGTAAAGAGAGTTTAAATGCAGCTAGGTGGCTCACCCAGCCAGTATCACTGCTGGTGTCATTTCAGTGGCTGCAGAGGCAGTTAAATGGATATTATATCTCCTGAGAACATTTTGAACATAATATAGTTGGTCTTTTTTAAAAATGTGGACACAAAGAAAGACAAATACAAGGTGTCTGAGCTCTACTAGCAAGACATCAAACTATTCTGATAACTTAAAATCAGCAAACACCTCCTTTGCAAAGGAAGGGGGAAAGGAAAATAGTGGAATGAAAACATTACACTTACTTCCCTGTGGTACAGTAGCAGTGTATTGTATAACACAGAGACAAAAATATTTGTGGTGGTCTTCTTTGCTGATTTAGAGGATGTTCTTAAATTGTCTTCAGTGTCTACTTGTGAATGGCAATGCCTAAATTACAGCTGTAATTTTTCATTATCTCCTTCAGCTTTCCTGCCCTAAAGCACTTTTCCCCCACCAATCTAGTGTCCTTGTCAACTTCTTAGGAGAAAGCATTAATATTTTGGGGGGATTTTTTTGCTGGTTGTGCTAATCGGGTTTGTCTCTGCTTCCATCAGGGCTTTTTATCCAGCCTTTCCCCCTTCCCCCTGTCTCCCTCCCTTCCAAGCAAGGCAGCAATCTGTTCTTTTTAAAACCTTCATCATCTTTGCTCTCTCCATCTCAGTTTCCCCAGATTTTAGAGATTGTTGACTATTATGTAACAGATGGCCTGACAGACCTCCGACTCTTTGCGGTGATGGCTAGCTTGGCGCAGAAAATAGCAGCACTGGAGTAAGCATTCAGCAGCATAGACGCTCATGAATTTTAACTCCTCAGTGACAAAGGAATTCAAGGGGGTAAGAGCCAATCTATCAGTAGCCAAAGTAATTAGAAGATTTAGATGGCTCTCTAGTGCAGAGTATCCCTTCTCTGCTATGGGCTGTTCAGAGTAGATTAGGATAGTCTATCTCCCATTGATCTCTAAACCATAACTATGCTTCAAAACAATGGGACAGCTTAATCCAGAAATTGAGACATTCAAGCAAGCATCAGTGAGGGCTGTTCTTTTGGCTTGTAATGAAATGTACTTTGCAGCATCAAGCAGGGACAATGTATATTGAGCAGAGTTACACTTTGATTTTTGTTTTTATTGCATTCCTGGTAAGCAGGGGAAATCACTTGCACTAAATGACCAATATTCTGTCTCTAGACATTTTATACTTGAGGAATTAGTATTCTTGCCCTCTATACATTTTCTGTATTCTTTGTTCTTTGTCATTCTTGCTTCTGTATGTAAGAGTATTAAAAGAGTTCTTGTAAGTGACCAGAGTTTTGGCACCCTCATATAGCTTTTTGTCATTTCTAGGAAGTTTCTGAGTATATCATTCCCCTTCCCAGAAGTCTAGCTGCTTGCCTTTCAGAAACATTTCTGTGTCTGACCAGTCAATGGAAGCTTTTTCTTAAAGTAGGGGGAATGGGGAG